GGTTTCGCGTTGCGATTATCTCGTTGCGATTTTCATTTCGCGTTGCGATTCTCTCGTTGCGATTTTCATTTCTCTCGTTGCGATAGTCATTTTCGTGTTGCGATTTTCATTTTCATGTTGCGATTTTAAGTTTAAAAACTATTCTTCTTCTGCAAATTGAAACTTTAATGGATTACATTACTTCAACCAAAAGACAAAACAAAGACAAATACTAACATCACAGGGTTAAAGACTAAACAGTTTAGCAGTATTGGCAGCAATCGAATGAATTTAATAAGAAATCTAAGTGAAATGATTAATCTATTATTGAAATTACCAGTAAACTTATCATCAATTTCAATATGAAAAACCTAAAATAATGCAAAAATTTTAAAATAAAAATAATTAAAAAAACTAACCCTCGGAGGTTGATTTTCCATTTCTGAATGATTGTGAGGGATTTCTGACCGTGAATGGTTGTGAGGGATTTTGCCGGAAATGGGGACGGAAATCTTCGGAGATGGGGACGGATTTCGCCGTAGAGAGTGAGAAATGGAGATGGGACTGAGTTGTGATTTTTTTTAGGTTTTAGGTTATGAGTTGCGATTACGGGATATACTGTGGACGGTTCAGTGTTCCGATAATTAATATTCGTGTTTGGAATTTGAAAATAAAATACGCGTAGCGATTATAATGGCGCTTTAAAAATCGCGTTACGATTTACGGATACGCGTTGCGGTTTTGCGGTTTACGTATTGTCGTTGCGATTTACGGATAAGCATTGCGATTTACGTATTCTCGTTGCGATTTACAGATACGCGTTGCGATTTACGTATTCTCGTTGCGATTTACGGATACGCGTTGCGATTTTATATATTGTCGTTGCGATTTATGGATACGCGTTGCGATTTTACGGATACTCGTTGCGATAGTCAGAATCGCGTTGCGATTTATATGTTCGCGTTGTGATTTTCATATTCGCGTTGCGATTATGGAAAATCGCAATGCGAATTTGTACTATCGCATTGCGATTCTTCATAATCGCGTTGCGATTCTGGGAATTGATTTGCGATTCTGGAGATCGCGTTACGATTTTTATTTCACATTGCGATTTTGTTGGTCATTTTGACAAATCCCAAAAAAATTGGTTAAAATCATATATTATAAGGCATTTTTGGTCACAGGCGATTTTCTCTTTCTCTTTTTTTTTTTTTTTTATGTGTTCTGTCAACTTTTGTCATTTTGTTATTTGTAGGTTACAAATACTTTATACTTATACATAAGCACCATTTGCCTTTGCCTTCCCCTTCCCCTCTCTCTTTCTCTCTGCTTCTTCTTCCTTTTTTAGCTTTAGAAAGGAGAGATGGATGGTAAACGGAATGGTTCGAAAGCAAAGGTTCTATCTAACTCCAGTAGACGAATCTGCAACAATGGAAACAACCAGGACCAACACAAACAAGGTTTAGCTTACTTCCATTTTAAAACTCTTTGCAAATTGTGTTTTTTTTATCAGTCTTTTCATCTTGAATTGTCTTTTGTTTCTATCTGTGGCACCAAAAAGAAATAAACAGTGGAAACTAATCAATCATATTTTCTTTTGATGGTCCCAACTCAATGCTGCTAGTTCTTTTATTCTGCAGAGATGGGGTCCCTTTTGTTTTCAGTTGGTTCAATCATCAGCAGAAGTGGTTTATTTCATTCTTTTGTTTTTTGAGCGTTTGTGGCTTGGTTTTGCTGTGAATTCAGGAGAAAGGTGTGATATGTATAATAAACTATGGTATGCATGCGCCGGTTCTTCTGTTTATGTGCCAATCACTGGAGAAAAAGTCCTTTACTTCCCTCAAGGTCACATGGAACAGGTTCTATTTCATTTTATTTTTATAACCAAATAATCGATTAATGAATCAAATACCAATATTCGAACATCTTATGATTAAGCCTTCGATTCAGGTTGAGGCATACATAAATGAAGATGGCACTATGGAAATGCCTATCTACAAATTACCTTCCATGATCATATGCAGGGTGTTGCATGTTGAGCTTAAGGTATCAAGTAAACATGCATGTATGCGTATTTTATCAGTTCTTAGCAGGCAACCAAATCTCATTATAAGTTGTTTGTTTGTGATGTTTCGGCATTGCAGGTTGAGCCTGGCACAGATGAGATCTATGCACAACTTACATTGCTTCCAGATGCAGAGGTTATATATAGTATTCAGTTCACTTTTCAATTAAATCTTGGATATTTGCTCTATATATAATCAATTCTTTTTTATGGATTACCAGCAAAATGAGCTAAGTATGGAGCATAGAAATTATCGAGCGTTGCCTCGGCAAATGTATCCACATTTCTTCAGTAAGAAGCTAACTCCGTCGGATATAGGCACGCACGGTGGATGCTCTATCCCAAAGCGACATGCCGATGATAGGTGTCTTCCACCCTTGGTTGGTATCTCCATTTTATTCAAAATTTTGTGGTCTTTTTGGTGCTTTCATGTTCAAAACATTTATTTTTGAACTGTTGCAGGACATGTCTCAGGAAACCCCGCAGCAGCAACTTCTCACGACGGACTTGCACGGTCATCGATGGTGTTTTCGACATGTTTTTCGTGGTAATTTCCTTCCCTTTCCTCCACCAATCGTAGTGATAGTCTACAGCTTTGCACTGTTCTTGTTTCTTTTGGAACTTATGGACTATGTGTTCCCACATGTAGGCCAGCCAAAAAGGCATTTGCTTACCAGCGGCTGGAGTAACTTTGTCACTTCAAAGAAGCTTGCTGCTGAGGATACATTTATCTTTCTAAGGTTATCTCTCGCTCTCTGCAACACCCTCCGCCGTATACCATATACGTGATTTGATGTTTCATTTACTTAGATATCTGAATTTTGGTCTTATGGAATATTACAAGCAAAAACATTATATTGTTCTTCTATAGAGGGGAAAATGGAGAGTTCGGTGTTGGAGTTCGTCGAGCAATGTCGACATTACTGAACAATCCGCCCCCATCGATCATATCTGGCCACAGTATGCGACATGGAATACTTGCCAATGCTTTACATGCGCTTTCTACCGAAGCATGTTTACTGTCTACTACCGTCCTTGGTAAGTTCAATGTAACATAAAACTTCAATTGTCACACTGGAACTAGAAGAGAAAAGGCATTAATTCTCTTGTTTCTTTGCAGGACAAGGTCTTCTGAATTTATCACCCCACTTGATCAGTATCTGAAGTCAGTTCAATTCAACTACTGCATTGGGACAAGATTTAGAATGCCTATAAAAGGCAAAGAATCCAGGGAACAAAGGTGATTACACTATCATTTGTGGATAATTTGAAGCATGATTTTAATCCCTACCTTCCTTTAACCTAGTATATTCTAATTAAAAACCAGAGCCCTTGGCACTATTGTCGGCATTGAAGACGTTGATCATATTAGGTGGCCCAATTCTAAATGGAGATGTCTGAAGGTAACGTGTGCTGTTTTGCATGCATGACCTTTGATGATAGATGCCTGGTTTCTAGTTTAGTTTTCTTGTACTCAATCCATTCATGGACTTCTATGATTTCTAGGTGAAATGGGATAATCCCACATCGAGTTTGGTGCTCCCTAAAAGAGTTTTCCTTGGACGATCGATCCGACTGAAGTCACTAGGATGAAGAAACCTTTCGCTCTGCATTCTCAGAAGAGGGCTCGCTCTAATGATGCATCATCCCCTGATTTTTCTAGCTTGCTTATGGACGGTAGGTAGTCAATATTCTTTTCCGGATTCAATGTATACTTTTGCAGAAACTGATCATAATCTCTTCTTTACCAGGCATGTTGCATGGTTCACCTAAATGTCAATCCCAAAGTAGCTCAGGGGTCTTGCAAGGTCAAGAAGATAGAGATACATGTGCGAATCAATCCGGTGCACTACAACAATCATTACCACATTTTCTCCCGCAAAGTCATGGTTGGGCCTCAATTCAACAGAAGATGCATAAGAAACCAGAGATTCAGATTTCAATCTGCAACCCGTTTTATCAGTACACCACCAGCACAGCCTTCTACTCTCATGGAGTTCACGATGATGCTCGTGCTAGCAAAAGGTTTTCAGTTCCGAATGTTGATTCTCCAGAATGGAGGAATGAAAATGGATCTTGTCTGAACCAAAAGGTGGTCATAGATATATGCTTTTCGGAGTAAATTTAGTTAATGGCTCACCAGAGCTCCCTTCACCACAAGTACTCACTTCTAGTGAGGTAAAACGTCTTTGTTCGACTCCTCCTACATCACAATCGAGTGTTGAGGAACCTTCTAAGTGTATATCTAGCAAGCAATGCAACAACTGCTGTTTTGTCGGCAACCGAAGTTGCACCAAGGTACTGCTGCTACCTTTCCATAAATTTCTCAGTCGATAGAGCGTTTCAAAGTACGTATTGATCGTTTTCTTTTCTCTTTTAGGTGCTGAAGTATGGACTTGCTCTTGGAAGATCAATTGATCTCCATCGATTCAATGGATATGAAGACCTCATCATTGAGCTCGATCGCATGTTTGATTTCAATGGAAGATTGATCGATGGAAGCAGCGGCTGGAATGTAACCTATGTCGATGAAGATGGGGATATGATGTTGATTGGAGATCATTATCCATGGCAGTTAAGTCCAAAACGGAACACAAACTCTGCCTAAAACAAATCACGTCTGCCATGAATTTTCTAGTTTGAGACTTTTGGTTTAATGATCAAATCTTTACAGGAAATTTCAGTACCAGGTCCAAAGGATGGTGATCTGCCCCTGGGAAGAAATCGAGAGGCCGAATTCGAGCACGCCCAAATCAGGATCTTACTGAAAGGCCTTTAAAAATCTTGATTATGGTAATATGTTCAGAGCTTTTCCTTGGGGTTGAAGCAAAGCAATGGCAATGCACAATCTTTGAATAAAGTTGTTTGTTGTTCAAGTTATGTTGTTTTTAAAGAGATTTCAGTCTTGGATACTGCATGCATCTCGAATTGCTGCATTTACGTGCATATTATGTATATGCATCTGTAAGTTGTTTGCAGAGATGGTTTATGTTTAGAGATGATCAAACATGGATAATTCTAGAATAAAAGTTTTACCTTTAATCAATGGATTTGTATACCATAAATATTTTTCTTGGATGAGAATTGAGAAGTGACTAAAATGGATCCGTGGAAATAGACGAGTGACTAAATCCGTATTTCACCCTGAAAAAAATCAGTATTATCCAGCCATGGCTGGTGGAAATATTTTACTCACCAGACAACACCACTGAGCTGAGTTGGCATCTCTATTTTCCCGCCGATTTTCCAACCAAATTCCGGGAATATCTGTTACAATAATTTCGGAAATCTCTTCGTCTTTACCACTATCAAACAAGTTTGCTCCTTTTCTGAAACAAAGAAAACCCTCAACGCACAATCATCGACCAGACAAATAGAAATACTTGGCCAAACCATGAAATCCATATGTTTTCCCTTCACAATCGTTGCGGCAACCATCTCAAATTCCAATAACTTAGCCGTCCGCTAACACCTAACCCCCTTCAATTCAAAACCCCAATCTTACTCTCAAAAGAACCCAACGTTCGGTCATCGCTCTACGATCTGAGTCTTTTTCGGAACCACGAGGGAATCAACAAGGGCAAGACGCTGAAACCCTAATCGAAGACCTGAGGACGACTGGTTACTCCCTTCAAAGGCATTGGAGGTACCCATTATTGAAATTTCACTTTAATTTTTAAATTACTTGATCTGGGTTTCGTTTTTAGTGTTAGAAGAACAAAGTTATGTAGTTTTTTTTTTCATAGTACCCATTTGCCCTTGTAGGAATCAGAGTGGCTCAGAGTTACACTGCATAAATGGTTGGATGATGAGTACTGTCCGGAGGAAACAAATGTTGAGATCAGCAAGGTAGCTGCCCAGTCATTTTATCAATCTTTGTTGGAGAAACAATCAGACGTGGGTGAGATTCTTTTGAAGATGGCTAGAGAACTAGAATCCATTTCTTATCGGGAAAGCTTTCATGGGGCATTCTCGTCGGCGAATGCAGCTGTTAGCTTAATTATCCAACGAATAGAGCAGTTGTAGGTTGATTTTTTGAGTAAGTACTTGGTATGTACTGTTTAAACTGCTCAGTGCTTTCAGTTCGTTTTTGTTATGAATTGTGCTTCATTTATGTAATAGTGCCATGAACACTACTCATGAAACACGAAATTCTTTAGCGGGAACCATGCTGGTTACTTGCCTGTTGATATTGTGCATCTCAATTCTCAAGGTAAAATGCAGTTTTGTAGTAAATATGGGTTGGAAATCTGATGTATACCATGAGAATATCTGCATAATCCCATGGATGCCCCCCCCCACATTTCTGCTTGATACTACATCAGATTATCCTATTGTTTTCTATAATTGTGCTGGAGAAATAAAATTTGGGATTATTTCTTGAGTTTGAATTGTAGTCCAATGGCTAGCAGTCTCATATAGGGTGTTTAAGTTGGAAATATGTGAAGGTCAATCGCCTTCTCCCGTTGAGGTGTACAAATACCGGTTTCTATTCCCTAGCACAAACAGTCTACAACAGAGTAGGCTGGTACGTTATGAAAACAGTAGGGATTTTAAGAACCAAGGTGCATGGTTTGATTCCAGGTGCCATCACATTACTGAAAACCAAAGCTGGTGACTGCACCATTTCTTTACTTGATTTTATTTTTATTCTTTTTGTTTTATGATACTAGGCCTTGTTCCAATTCATGCAAGTCCAAGGCGATTTTTTTTAGCCTAGAATCAAAATCTAAGGTATTATAATCCCAAAACTTCATTACCCTTTTACTTCAACTTTATCAAAATTGGATATCTAGATAGTTCCATGCATACAAGTATTTTTTAAATAAATAAATAATATATATTAAAATTTACATTTAAAGTACAAAATTAAATTGAAAAATATTTTTATCTATCATATTGAAACAAGTCTAATCAAATTTAAGAATTATCTTTTGACAATTCAAAATCAACAAGTTTTTGTTACAATGTTCTTAAATTCCACATTTTTGTTGATATGAGTTTTTTAAAGTATTTAAATATAATTTTTTAAATATTTATTGATGTTGAAACATCATTGTTCAATTGCGTACATTGTTTTTTAAAATAAATTTTGTATAGTTTTTGGCTCATTATTTTCTGTTTTTTTTTATATTGAATGACATCAACGTGAAAGATATCATCTAGATGACTTCTCACATAGGTAAATGTGTGTCCTCCAAATTATATTTTTGAAGACAATTTCATGTGGATACAACTTTATAAAGATAAATATGTATTTAGACCTTCAAATTTGATTTATTTTAATTTTGCCCTTCCTATTTTAGTTTATTTTGATTTTATCCCTCTCGTTTTTTATTATACGTTGCCCCTTGAATTAGAATCCTAGCTTCGTACATGTTAATAATATTGTTTAGGTCTCATTTAAATAAAACATATTGTTATAATAAATTCAGCACCCTTATCACAATATTATATTTTCTTCTATTCACATTTTATTCAATGATTGAGCTGACCCTATTCCCATATATAATAGGGTAAGGGGGAGGTAGGATAGTAGGCTGCCCCCAACACAAGGTTGAAAGCCGCTTCCGTAAAAGACCTCCGTTATGAACTGTCCTCAGTGAGACTCGATCCCACGACCACAAGGTTAAAAGCCTTGCGCTCTACCAACTGAGCTAGACGAGCAATTGATGAAATGATATACGTTTTAAATTTCATACCAACTTGAGTTGCATGTCCGCTGGAAATGATAGACGTTTTCTATAGTTATAAAATATTGTCGTGAACCTTAACAATTGCGGGCGTTTGGTCTAGTGGTATGATTCTCGCTTTGGGTGCGAGAGGTCCCGAGTTCGATTCTCGGAACGCCCCATTTCAGGTTTTAGCCTTTTTAATTTTTAAATTTGGGTGCATCAGAGTGTGACACGTGGGTTTTTGTCTAAAATAAAAAAAATTGAATTCGGGACCTCTCGCACCCAAAGCGAGAATCATACCATTATACCAAATGCCCTCGTTGAAATTAATCTTCATAAATATGATATTGTTCATTTACTTTATTATTTTTACCATGAATCACTTGAGAAAATTTGAGTTTTCCCAGCAAATGATCATTCATCACAGAGAAAACCCAACACATTGAATGGCTGATCATCGTTGCCTCAGAAACTCTGCTCTTGGAGTCTCGGTCTCCATCCGGTAATCTTTTTTTCCTTTCAATATTTTTATTGTTGGTTCTTTTCCTTTCCTATTTCTTGAGGGATTCTCGTTAATAACCCAGAAAAGAGTCAAGTTTGATCAAAATAAATACTATAAGAGTGGGTCTAAATATTTTTTATCCTCTTGGTAATGATATAGGAAGTAATAAAGATGGAGACTTGGTGTGTTTGATGAAGATGGGTATGAAAAAACTTCCGCTTTTTCATGATATTGCTGTGCTTGGTAGTCCAATAAATGAAAATGAAACCCAGGTGGATAAAGCTTGCTTTGACACAGTAGTGGTGGATACTGCTGATGACGATGATATGGGTCATATGGAACCAAGTGAGCTTGATAGTGAGGATGAAGGAAGTTGTAGGACCAAGACTGCAACTCTCTTTGACAGTGGTAGAAGTCAAAAGAATGTGTCAAAGGAAGAGGGAGGTGCAAACCCCCATGTTTAGATGCTCTTGATTCAATTGACAAAGAGAATACATGTGAAGGTCTAGAGAATACCATCACACATCTTCAGGGAGGTGAAGAACCCATTTGTTGTAGAATCCCCTTCCGTGAATTAGGAGGAGTTGCAATTGAGTGTATTCGAAGAAAGCACTCTGCGAGGAGATATAATCACAACATTTCTAGTTCATCATGGAACCCTAATTATCAGGAGTTGAGTCACAAAAGAAAACCAAACGGATATAAGTGCAAGCAAATAAAAGGTAGATTAATCTGTAAGCATCAACAACCTAAAAAGGTTGATTCATGCTTCATTCACCAGTGTTGGTGCAGAAGAATAGAACCTAGCTTCTGCCAGAAGTAAAAAAATGTCAGGAGATACTGAAACCAATTCTAGTAACTTCAACATGAAGGAACAAATGCGTACTGACCTCTGTTTATTTAGAAAATGACACTGATGAAAATCTTTCTAGTAAGAACTGTAATGTATAAATTGCAGGTGGAGTTACTAAGAGTGATTTAGCTGTCACAACTCACAAGCATATCTGCTAGGGACTTGGTGGAAGTAAGATTATGCAAATTTTGCATCAATTCTCAATGGTTTAATGAACCATAATGTTGGGGAATCACCGAGAAAGAATGTCGGATCATCTGGTACTGAATCAAACACCTTCATTGTAAAAATAATAAACCCTACGAAGAGGATCCTCATTTTTGTAAAACTAAAATAAATAAAAGGGTAAACTACAATGTTCCTAACTGAATTATACTCTCCTGAACTTGCTCACTGAATTTTACAATCAAATCATTTTTCTCACTCGACTGTTTTCTATATAACAGTTGATGACGTGGCATTTTTATTATATAATATAAAATAATTAAAATGATAAAATAAAAACATAAGTGTTCATTGTAACACACCGTATCCTACCCGGATACGAATCCGATATGTCACGTTGGCTTTTCAAAACATATGTAATTAACAAATAAGAACAAATTTAAATTTTTGATCAACATAAAAAGGTATAAACCTTAACTTAAATAAGATAATAATTTCATATTCATATTTACATAAAAGCTTTAATAATTTACATAAATACCAAATATACGAGTTTACAAAATCGATCAGAGCATTTCAAATTAAACGTATAATACATGCCAACATTTTACAAAATTAACAAAAAAAACCTACATTTAATTTGTCCTTATCTGATCTTCACGGGGTATGCTATCCTCAACCAATCAGTTTTCAGCTTTCTTTAAACCTACGTGTGAGGAAATCACACGCTAAGTCGATGACTTACTGAGGCAAATACTAAAAGTGCTAACTTAATAAACAAAATCTTTATTGGTTTTTATCGAAACATTTTATAAAGAATTTCAACTTATTTTCCATATAAAAAAGGTATACTTATGTATATTATTCACTTTGTTTAGCTTTGTTCCAAATGTCCGATGTATATTACTGAGAACTCTAGGTATTTGAGTACATTGACGTTATGCACTAATGTTGTCACCACAACTCGTAATTTGCACCGAAGTACCACATAATTGTCCCGAAGGACCACATAGGTTTGCACCGAAGTGCCACATAGTTTGCACCGAAGTGCCACATAAAACCCTCGACTCTTGGCATGCCAACTATACCTCTAATCCTCAAACATATACCTTGGGCTATTAATTACATAATTATTTTCAATCACTATTTGAAGTGTCTCTTATTCACATAGTTACTTTCACATAGAGTCTTTTCATATACTCTTGTTCAAAGGTCACATTTCCATAATCATATAATCATAAAACATAACTTATATAATATAAATTGAATAAAACATTGTAATATAACATAAAAGAAATTATAAGGTTTTCGATCGAAAACACTGAGGTTGACTTATCGCAAGCCTTCCTCAATTCTATTACAAAACCGAGAAGTTGCACTCACCTTTGCCTCACTGAAGTCCTAAGCGAAATCCTTAACACTTTTGATTCGGTACTGAATATGTCGAGCTAACCAGAAGTTGATTATATTCAACAACTACACAAAACAATCGAAAATCAATATCGTACTTTGAATCACTTATAATCAATCATGATAACTTGAGATGAAAGAAACACTAAATTTTCATATCATGCCTAGAAGTATCGATACTACCCCTACAGTACCGATACTTTCCTTCAGGGGTATCGATACCTCCTGACGGTACCGATACTATTCCGAGGTTCTGGAGTTGTATCTTGAAAATGGTATGGATACCATACCCATGGTATCGATACTACCAACTCAGTATCGATATCTTCTTCAACTAGTATCGATACCACCTTTAGAAATACATAGATTTAACCCTTGAAGTATCAGTATTGTTCTAACGGTACCAATACTCTATGCCCAAAATGGCTATTTTCAGTTCAAAAATCAATCAAAATTCTCCTAAATATCTTATATTCCACACACATTAAGCCTTTAAGCTCACCCTTATACTTCCAAACTAATTTGTCCTCATTTACTACTCCTAATTATCCAAATTCTTGTATAAACACTTATATCTCAAAATCATACCAAAATTTCAAACATGTTCTTAATCATTTCTATTACTCTACCTTCTTAAATTGATCATTGACAAGTCAAATATCCAAATAAAACTTCAAAAACTACATTATATCAACAATTCATCTTAACACCCATTTTATAAATTCACTTCTAATCCACTCCTCTTGTTTTTTTAATCTTATATAAGCTTTCCTTAAGCTTATATAACACTCAAATTTCCATTACCAAACCAAAAATTAAAAGAAAACCACCAATTTCGGAATCTTACCTTTAGGAGTGGAGCTCACAGTAGAAGAAGATATAAGAAATGGGTTTCCATACATCTCTTTGCTTTTCTTCCAAAACCCACATGTTTATCTCCTTTAAAAAGGAAGATAAAAAATCCTTCTTGAAAATACCATAATGCCCTTCTACTACTCTAAAAATTTTATCTAGCCCTACACAGAAATTCCACCATAAATCATTGAATTTATCAATTTATCCTAATTCAACTACTGAGTTTAACATTCTTACATTCTGGTCACTGACCCGATAATTGAGATGTTACAGTCATGCCACTGCCGAATGGGATGCGTCGTTTCGCCTCGACACATTGAGTCCAAATCCAACCTTCATTTTTTTCGGAATTTGCTCCGAAGTCCATAAATTTGATATTGAAAGTGGGAAAAGCGAAACGTTTCAGTCCAAATTAATGGGTTTTGGGATAATTTTCGGTGAAACAACCACCATATCCAGACTCAGGAGGTCGAGACGACCTGACCCATGAAATTTGGAACCTGGTTGTTCACATCTACGACGGTCGATAGTGATCAGAATGAAAATGATGTGGTGCCCGGTGGAGATAAAATGAAGAAGAGAATGAAAAAGGGTAAATTACACCATGAGTCACTGAACTCTACTCTTTCTCCTATTTTAATCATCGAAACGATGTCGTTTTGAAGCCTATACCATGTCATAACACCATTAAATAATTAACGGCAGAGTTAGAAAAATAATTCAATATGTAAAGTTCAGTGAGCAAATTGATGAAATTAAAAGTTAGGTGATCAAAATCATTAAAATGAAGTGGTGTTCTTTAATGTTGGTACTAAATTAGGAAGTGAAGTTGAAATTGGCTTAAAACAAGGTTATTTATAGAGCAAGTTGATCAAAAGTAGAGTATTTTTCAACTCGTTGCTTATTAAAATTTAACTCAACTCTTGACTGTTAAAAAAACTTATTCCTCGTTAAAACTTATTAAAATTTTGGTGAATTTAACTATAGGTAAAATAAACAAGAGAAAATAACTTTAGTGCCGAAAATATTTTATAATATATAATTTTAACTAATTTTTTTTGGATTTGTAAAATAATCAATAAAATCGCAACGCGAACTCCTATTTCTCAACACAGTTTCCAAATTCGCAACGCGAACATAGAAATTTTCGCAACGCTAATTACCGATATAGGTAAACACAACTATCGCAACACGAATTTCATTTTCGCAACGCAAATTTCGCAAATTGAATTCGCCAATTTCGCAACTCAATTACCGACATAGGTAAACACGGTAGAAAAAATCCGGTAAAAAAATCTGAATTCGACAATTTGAAAACTGAGTTGCGAATTTGGCAAATTCGTGTTGCGAAATGTAAAATCTCGCCTCTTAAAGAAAAAATTAAAGGACATAAAATGCACTGGAGTGGTTTTCAACCTGGGACATCCCAGTTGCTAAGTCCACGTATGAATCACTCAGCTAAACCTATGCCTGTAAATGAATTGAACAAACACGAACAAGGGTATGTTCATGTTCGTTCGTTCTTTCGTTTAACTTTAACCTAACAAACGAACTGTCGAAATGATTTTTTCTTTAAGAGGCGAGATTTTACATTTCGCAACACGAATTTGTCAAATTCGCAAATCAGTTTTCAAATTGGCGAATTCGGATTTTTGACCGGATTTTTTCTACCGTGTTTACCTATATCGGTAATTAAGTTGCGAAATTAGTGAATTCGATTTGCGAAAATAAAATTCGCGTTGCGATAGTTGTGTTTACCTATATCGGTAATTAGCGTTGCGAAAACGAAATTCACGTTGTGAAGTTGTGTTTAGCTATATCGGTAATTAATGTTGCGAAATTCGCGTTGCAAAAATTTTCATGTTCGCGTTGCGAATTTGGAAACTGTGTTGCGAAATAGGAGTTCGCGTTGCGATTTTGTTGGTTATTTTTGCTAATAAAAAAATTAATTAAAATCGTATATTATAAAGCATTTTCGGTCACTGAAATTATTTTCTCAATAAACAAATATTATACAGAGCTTAATATAAATATAAGTTACTAAATTTAATTAATTCTTTTCTCTTATTCCCTTTTCTGCTTTGTAATTTGTGTTATTTTCTATTCTTCAAATCAAATTTTTTTCTTTAATTTTGTTTAGCTTACGACGACATTAATTTTGATATTGATTGTCGACTGTCGATTGTCTTTTTTTTTAGGTTTTTAGGAAAAAATATGTCTTTATTACAAGTTTATCTTTGTCTTTGTGATACATTTATCTTTTAACAATTTTGGTTTTTTTGTTGTTTATCTTTTTTTTCAGGGTTGAATTTAACATCGCCACGATTGATCAAGATAACACTTTTTTGTTATCATGTTGATCTTCCATGCTTTGGACTCTCAGATTGATTTGGATACGCGTTTTACGTTTCTTGATAGTTTTTTCACATCGCTTGACTTTGATTTGCGATTTGTCGGTGGTATTTTAATAGCTCTATCCCTTTTTATGGTTCGTTTGTTGATACATTCAAATTTTTTGTATCTATATTTTGTTTGAGTATTTTTGTTAGGTTTTTTAACCTTTTCATTCTTTGGTCCTTGTGTGTGATATAGGTTGCTAATTTTTGTATCCATAGTTATAGAAGAATGTCCTAATTATAATTTAGTTTACGTTTACAATTATACTTGTAAATCTTCATTGTAATTATGGATATTTTTTATTTTTAATAAAACTTTTTCTATAAAAAATACCAAAATAATATTTGAAGTAATTTCAAACTCTAAACTTCAAAATAGTAATCCACAAATATATTAAAATAATCAATACAATAATTTAACATAGGTTGTTTATTATAAAATTGATAAATTATAAATTTTTATTTTTATTATATATTAGTAAATTAATAATTTTTTTAAAAAAAAATTAAAAAAGAATATTAAAAATTATAAAAAAAAAGTTACAAGCTAGTCACAAACTTATTAAATCAAATTAAACTTTACTTGATTCAGCTCATTAAAATCATAAATCATGCTCTAATCAAAATCAAATCAACCCAAATTAAACTTAATTAAATCAAATTCAGGCTGATCACAATCGTTCAACTCATTAAACACAACTAACTCAGAATATTAAAAACACGAATGAACAAAAGATACAGTTCTTCCATTTTATTACCAAGAAATAAAATTTATACATATCAAATCAAACTTGGTTGCAATTCATTCTATCAACAAAACCCAGCTAACAGACCAAAATGTATTACTTAAAATGCACACTAAAATTCTTGAGAAGCAGAACAAGTGTCGCCCTTTCCTTTGCCGGCCTTCTTTGGCAGCAGACTCTGATGAATTTTAGGCAAAACTCCACCGTTAGCAATCGTCACACCGCCCAGAAGCCTGCTCAGTTCTTCGTCGTTCCTAACAGCCAACTGAATATGCCTTGGAATGATTCTGTTCTTCTTATTGTCCCTTGCTGCGTTCCCAGCCAATTCCAAAACCTGTAAATTATTAGGGAAATCGCATACGGATCAGTTTCTCCATCCATCGAAATATCCAGAGATTATCCATTTTCACAATGAGAAAGTTCCGATTATACAAACCTCGGCCGCGAGATATTCGAGGACGGCGGAGAGATAAACGGGAGACCCGGATCCGATCCGCTCGGCATATCGTCCTTTCTTAAGAAATCGTGCTACACGGCCGACGGGGAATTGGAGTCCGGCCTTGCTGGATCGGGAAACAGCCTTGGCCTTGGGCTTGCCTCGGCCTCCTTTGGTTGTTGCAGCGGCGGAGCTCATGGTTTCAGATTTTGAGAGGGAGAGATTTGGTCAACTTTGAAAATAGTTTTGGTGGGAGATGGAGAGCCTGGGTTTCGTGGGGTATAAGAGAGAAGCTTTGTTCTTATTGGTTCTGTGAGTTTCACGCGGATTGCCAACCTGGCTTCGCTTTTGTTATGCACGGATTTCCAACGTGGATATTGTTTTGGTTGGTTGGATTTGCATCACTTGGATCCCCAGTGCGGGGGAACTAAACTATTTGGAATTTGGTGGGAATTAAATATTTAGAATAGGCGGTAACAAAAACGTTTTAAAAAAAAATAATTTCTCGTCTTTATTTTTTATAAATCCAAATAAAAATCTGCAAATTTTCTTTTGATTGCTAATAATACCTTAAAATCTTAGTACTTCAACAATTTGATTTTTGTTTAGATCTCAATTTTTTATTTGGGTTCATTGGTCGTCAGTGACTAATGATGCATCAAAGATAGTTATTAGTAGTTAATGATGTGATCTATGATAGGACATTTTAGTTATATTTAAATAATGAATTAATATTTCATTTAAAATTTAATAATTAAATTTATATTTTATTTAAAATATATAATTAAATTTATATTCTATTTAAATTTTATAAATAAATTTAAATTTAATTAATTGTGTTAATATATGTCATTAAATTAATAAAAATTAACAATTCAATAAAACAAATAAAAAGAAAAATAGTCAAAATATAATCTTTTAAAATCAGTACTAAAATAAAATGGATAGCATTATAATTTAGAACTTAAGAATCCTACGATTTTTAGTTTAGAAGTCTTCTTATCACAATATTATACTTTCTTCGATTCACAATTAATTCAATCAAATACAATATAAATTGTACAAACCAAGTGATTTATGTGGTAAAATAATTGTTGGTATTTCTTGAGATCGAGTTTGAATATCAAAAGTACGAACGTTTAATGTCAAAAGATTAAAAATTATCTTTAAACAAATATTATATTGTATTATCTTAAATTAATAAAAAATATATACTATAAGATCCATACGGTAGTCGTTGCATTTCACCCAAAAATGACATATGTTTAAGATCATTATAATATATTGTTGTGAAACTTTAACAGCAATGGGCGTTTGGTCTAGTGGTATGATTCTTGCTTTGGGTGCAAGAGGTCCCGAGTTCGATTCTCGGAACGCCCCATCTCAGTTTTATTTTGTTTTTATTTTTTTATAATTTGGGTGCATTAGAGGGTGACACGTGGACTTTTAGTCTAAAATAAAAAATACTATTACAAAATCAAGACAAGAGAAGAGGGGCATTCCGAGAATTGGTCTCGGAGCCTTTCACACCCTAAACAAGAATCATACCACTAGACCAAATCCTCCCAACTTGTTCCATAAGAAAAGTATGACTTTTTAAAGTAAATGACCATTCAGCACTTGGAAAATCCAACACACTGAATGGTAGATCATCGTTGCCTCAGACACTCTGCTCTTACAATCTCAGTTTCCATCTCGCAATCTTTTTTCCTTTCAATATTTTTAATGTTGCTTATTTTTCTTTCAAACAGTCTTGGTTTAGATCTCGAATTGTTGTCTCTTTCAATGGGTTAATGAGGATAAAAAAGTAGAGGAAGGATAGAATAGGAGAAACAAAGGAATTCAGATGAGGTGTTTGGGAAATATGTGTGTTTTTTTCTTTGTATTAGTTGAATTCTTTTAACCATTTCATTAGATGTTCTTGTCATATTATTTGGGTTGAATCGGATCAAAGAGGAGTTCAAAACTGAAAGTTTAAGCCTTATGGCGGGTGAAACACACAACTACCAATTTAAACCTTCCCACATATGTGATTAGATTACATCATTAGCGAAAGAAAATAGCTAGCATTCTGAATTCCCAATGCATTTCAATAGCTCTGCCACTGTAGTTTATATGAATATATAGCATAGCCTGTTAGACACGTAAAAGTTCCAGGCACGACATCTTCAACACCTAAAGTTCGATTTTAATCCTTCAATGTAAGCAATATCACAAGTTGCCGATAACCTCTTGACCTAATGACAGGATTCTCGTGTCGTGTAATAAGAGAGCTCGAGTACCCCTACCGCTACCTAAAATGACATAAGCTAAGAACAAGACTACACCAAGCAAGCAAAATAGGATCACCCCAATGATTATGATCCCATTCGGAAGGCACCCGGGCCGAGTAATTCAGACTACAAAGAATCAAAATTGCCAACATATTATCATTTCCGGAGTTTAAAGGTGAACAAGTTCTGGTCTTTTTCTAATTCCTACAATTCTACTTTCTACAGAGATTAGTCAAGTTTTTTCCATAAGGTATGAAGCATGCAGCAAGTGAGAACATGATATAATCCTGAATGTCCTAGAGAGTTTTATTCATTCCCTTTGGCAGTCTTCTTATGGGGTAATCTTAGCCCATCAAGAAATGTAGCACTTTCTGCGGATAGCCAGTTAATTGCAGTATTATAACACTAAAGACAAAAAAAAACGAATATCTTCATTCAGTTTGAAAAATGAGCATCAACATGAAGGAAATCGGACAAAATGCAGAATTTTCAGAATTACTGTCAAATAACGTCGTGTTAGGCAAAAATAGACTCGAAAGGTTTTTATGCCGCCTGAAAAAGAATGAAAAACATACAGTAAGAGTGACACTTTTAATAAATTTACAGCAACTAATAGTTAAAATCCAATTCCAGCCATATTCTCCTAAACTAGTAAAGCTGACCAATTACAAGTGCAACCCTATAATATCCAACCAGCTCAATGTACTTGGAGCTACCATTGGTGCTTGCCTTAATCAAGACAAAAAAGGCATAAATATAAGATATCAGGATAAGATCAAGTGATAATTGTTATTAAGATGAATACTTTCACAATGTCTGTAAAGAGTATTAAGGCTGTTGATTCATACAATAAAATTTGGAGGAAAAAGCTCAGGCGAAGCATTAGAGGATGGGGCTGAATACATGATGTATCATTTCCTAGCGACATTTCAAAAAAGAAACACCTATCACTTGGGATAGCATATCAAACCAAGACAAGATATGTACCTAAGGGTGATTTCAAATCTCTGTTCAGTGCTGTGATCGTGATGAACCAGACATGCTAATCAGTTAATCGTATTCTGCAATTTCTTCTGGTGTATTGCTGCACAAGAGGTTTATCATGACAGAAATTCTTCCATTGGAAATCGATAACCACGTTTGCACATTAAACCCACTACCGTCTCAACCTTATGCCTTTTACCACACATTAAGTATGCCTTGTACATTATCAGAAACGTTTTTTTAGTATAATCGATGCGGACATTATCCATCTCATTAAGAACATTCTCCATTTCTTCCAAGCTCTTCTGTAATCCATACATGCACATTTTACAGTGATACAAAGACCTGCAGATTCTCCATCCAGCACATTCTGCACGCTTTATAAAACTTGACAGTTTGTCCATGGCATTGCAACGGAAATATGCAGTGATAATGCAACGCATCAAAGGAGCATTCACTACAGCGGTCTTGTGCTCAAAGGCCTTATAAATCAACTTCTCCATGCTATCTAAATTATTCTCCTGAGCATGAAGTCTAATCAACAACACATTAAACCAAGGTTTGTATTCATCTTCTGGAATTAGCCTTAAAAGTTCCTCAACCCTTTTAGTCCTGTCCTTGACAGAACTCCTGCAATATGCATATATCATGGCTCTAATCAATGGGGATTTGACATCCACGTGAAGCTTTAACATTCGGAATGTCTCTTCCATTCGATCCAAGTTCCCTGAGTGTGCATATCCCCGAAGCATCAGCAAGTGAGTGCCGATATTAGGCTTAACCAGTGCAGTTTTCATCAAACCAAAAGTACTTTCCATCCTATCCCACATCCAAGCAGTCACATACGCAGCAATTAAATTGTTATAGGTATTTATATTAGGGGAGAGATTTAAACGTTGGACCTCCTCGAATGTTGCCTCCATGTGATCTATCAGCATCAAACGGCCAAAGACTGATATAAGAATGTTATATGTTACAATCGAAGGACTACAACTCAGATCCCTTTTCAAATGCCGAAACACTAATTGACATTTGTCAATGATGCCATTGAACATATAGGCACTCATTAACGCATTGTAAGTGGACGTCGTCTTGAGCTGCTTACTCTCAGCTTCGGAAAAGAGCTCGGCAGCAAGATCTACATTCTTAATCCTACCAGCAATGGTGATACCACTAGCGTATTCTTCCGGCGTCAAGGGATAGCCTTGCTCTATCTTTCTTCTCCTCCAATTAAATACCTGAAGAAACAGTTTAATATGAAAACAAAATGCTAATAAATACCAATGTCTACAATGGAACTCCCTAAAAACACTCCCCCCAACAAAAACAAAAACACAGATTGATTTCATCCTAAATTCTAATTTTCAAAAAGAAGAATAGAAAAACATACCTCCATGGCCAAATTAGGCCAAGAACCCAGATTTTTCAACAACTCTGAAAAAATACGGTCAGGGATTTCTTTGGTACGCACAGGCACATCACCCTGATTTCTATAACTCCCAAGTAAGCAATCCCCTCTCTCCTCCAAAATCTTGGCCACTTCCTCTGAAGAACCAACCTTTACTACCAATTCATCCCTGAGCTGAATCACTTTCTGCATCGTCTCCGATTTGGGACAGAACTGCGTCTCCGCCAGAGAAAGCTTCTCAATGAACAAGTTGATAATGTTATTGGAGATTTCAGTTGTGGGGGCAACGGTGTCTCCATAAAATCTGTAAAGAGACGGTCTTTGAAGATTATATGATGTTGAGATTAAAGATATGGGCTTCGAATGGTGCCTGTGGAGATTAAATAGCAGCTCCGATTTGGCTGCTGCTGCTGCGTCGTAGATTCTGAAAACGCGCTTCATTGGGATTTTAATGGAGACATGGGGGTTTTCTTTCCAGAAGCTTTTAAGGTTTAAGGAGGGTTTTAGCGAACAAATAAGATTCTAAGATCGAGACGGTAATGCTACAAATTTGGTGGCTGAAGCGAAACTCTGGATCGCAAATCTTACACT